AAACAGACTATCAGATAGCATGAATCATTTTTATGGCCCAACCCAAAATTAACCTAATTGTAGACAAAAATCTACTGATAAGAGTTTGCGGTTCCAATTTGACGAGATGGGAGTTGCTGGAGAGATTTTCATTCACTTCTGGATCCGCTAGTGAATCGCAAGATATTTCTTTTCTTTTTAAAGACCCCCTCAGAGTCACAACTTTTTACTTCTGTCCATCCAGGAATTGACAGAGCCCTGGTGCCTGAAGTCCTAAGCCCGGTACAAGTCCTCAGCGGCAGGCGCCCCTATCCGCACTTTGGGCTCAAGCAGGAGATCCTATACCATTTCAGGATCTATTGACATTCCTATAGGATCTCTTTCAGAAAAGTGATTGTAAAGTCTCCTCTCTAAAAAGTCCAGTGATGAAGCAACCACAATGTCTGAAGGAAAGCTGTTCCTCTGGTTAATTGTCTTCACTGTAAGAAAGATTCTCGTTAATTTGAGATTATTTTACATGCATTGCTTCCCTCGATTATTTTACATGCATTGTTTTCTTGTCCTGCTTGTGGTGGCCTCTCAAGTATTAGAATACTGCTATCATGTCAATCATAGTCCTTTTCTGTAGACTAGCCATCCCCAAATCCTCAAAACGGTTCTTTGTATGTTTTAGCCTTCAGGCCTTTAATCATCTCAGTTGCTCTTCTTTGCACTTTCTCCAAAGTCTAAACATCTTTTTTTGTTTTTTTCATTTTGTTGGATTCAACCTTGTCTCATTGGGATCAGAAAGGCACAATATGTATACACATACAAATCTATAGAGTCTATAGAGGTCAGTGGTTAGAATGAAGTACTACAGGCTAATTGCCCACAGCCAAGATTTCGATCCTGACCAGCTCACGGTTGATTCAGTCTTTCATCCTTCAGAGGTCGTTAAAATAAGCACACAGGAGTGGTATATAAGTCTAAGTGGAATTGTTATTGCTATGCAGTTTCTCCTGAGTGTGGATCCTTTTATGAGAAATAAGATGACCATTCTAAGCAAAACTCTTTCCACACTCCATGCAAACGGTTCCTCCCCTGTGTGGCTCCTTGTACGGGAATTAAGAGTGGATCTTTTTGTGGCTTCTAAGGCTACTGCCACGAGTAAATGTCTTTCCACACTCCATGCATTTAAATGGCTTCTCCCCTCTGTGGATCATCTTATGGGAAATAAGATTATGTTTTTGAGCAAAGGTCTTTCCACACTCCATGCATTTAAATGGTTTCTCTCCTGTGTGTATATTTTTGTGCCTTTTAAGAACACTACCATGAGTAAACGTCTTTCCACACTTCATACATTTATATGGTTTCTCTCCTGAGTGGATCTTTTTGTGGCTTCTAAG